CCGTACAGTATAATCAGACACAATATTTAAATCATAATTTTAAAATGTTACTGCAAATATATACGCATGTAAAGCCCGGCGCACACTAGAGCTATCAGCTGAGCTGAGCGTCACTCGTGGCTGTTGGCGTAAGCTGTTTCCTCAAGTGTGCGGTGTCATGTTCTGCGATTTTTGTCACGCGTGCCATGAGCTCAGAATATTCAACATGTTGAATAATTTTATACTCTGAGTTCATGGCACGCGTGACAAAAATCGCAGAACATGACACCGCACACTTGAGGAAACAGCTTACGCCAACAGCCACGAGTGACGCTCAGCTCAGCTGATAGCTCTAGTGTGCGCCGGGCTTAAAGTCTTTACAACAAGACAAAAACACCAGTTACTCCGTTCTATTGCAAGCCGCGGCGATGCAACATTATAAAACATAAATTATGAAAGCATGAAAATTTATTTCACAATCGTCCTTTTTTCACGGTCAGGCTTTTACAATATTGACAACGGTCCGCAATTGTTTTCCTCGCCATTCGCGGCTAAGCAAACCAGCAGAAAAAACTGAATAAGTTATTTACCGGTCTATCTGTATGAAAAACCTGTGCCCTTGACCTTGAGCAAATTTGTGCCTCCATGTATATCAATATAAGGACAGAGGTTAAAATGAACTTACCCACGCCTGATTCTGTAAATAAAGTGCTTGAATTTCCTTGCTGCTTTCCTGCTGCCATGAGTGTCAAAAGATCGCCTTGCCTCGATACGTCCTTTACAATATAATGACAAAATTATCAATAATGCATGAATTCCGCAATTGGTTTTTTCTAAGCCCAGATTAAGGCGCTTTGTATCTTTACTTCCAGGAAAACGCTTGGTACCTCTGTGGAATCTGAGTAGCTGCCTTCTCGGATCCTCAAAACATCGGAAGATTGGGGAGAACGGAAAATTTCTCTATGTGACGGTGGTTGATACACGAGAGTAAAGAGCCGTCATTCTATCCACTATTATCGAAATTAGATTTGACAACTCTGCCCATTATTTATTTGTTATCCTTAATCATGCTCCTAAATATAACGCCTGTACTGCAAACTATTTCTGTTTAGCGATCACTTCTATTATGGCATCTTCCAGTGCGACTATCAATTGTAGCAATGGATTACTACAGATGTAAGTAAGAATTAGGGGGCGTTAATAAAGGTATTGCATATCATTTACCCGTTCGGCCCGACATTACTCAATCAACAAGAATTCTTTCTGCTCGAAGCTCAAAGCTCGGGGGCCCATACGGGAATGTTAAGCCCGGCTCACACCATCGCAAACGGCGCTCACACAGGGATTTTAAAGTGAAATGCGCGCGGGGCCATGGCGGTTAAAATAAATGCAGTTTTTGGCCAACTTTAGTTTTTTTTCGCTAAAGCTACTTGTTGCTAGCCACTGCCCACAGTTTGGCATTTCGCGCCCACATGCCGTAAATGAAAAGTAAAGAGAAATTAACCTTCCAATCTGTAATGTGAACAATGTACATCATAACTATCACTATTGGACTTAAAATATTCTTCATAACTGTAAAAATACACGTCCTCACCAGTTTTGTAGTTGATAACAACAACATTAAAACCCCGCTTGTGTCGAGAGTAATCTCTTCCATTGACTTTAATGTAGGCCCGCGAGCGTCCGTACAATGTGCGTCCCCTTTTTTTATCAACAAAGCCTTGACTTTCAACAGAAATATATAATCTTTCTGTAAAACAAAACGAAAAGGCCTCGATTATACATTTTTGAAAATATCACGCTTTTCTAACATCCTTATAGTTAGCAAATCTTGTCCGCAGCTGGAAAGATAGATAGCCTTTTAAAATCGGAATAGCTTTTTTACTAAAAGAAAATTTTCCTATAGATTCACTCCTCTCTGAATGGAATTAAGTGCTCTTGATGAAGAAATTTATGACATAGCATAACTGATGAGAATGCTATTCCTTTGAGAAAGACGGTGTTTTCGCGAATGAGAGGATATTTCGGGGCTTTGCCAGTCAGAACAACATCAAATGAAAAAGGCAAATTTTACAAAACCTACTTCGTGGTATTCGTCTGATCGGATAGCGTCGTTTGCCTGTATTAAAGAACAAGAGATAGTCAATTATATGCTAGCTTGCAACGTGCAAACATCACTCAGGTGAGGCACATAAGCAAATTATGTGCGTGCATTCTTTGCAACCTTCAAGAGCGTCATAGCTTACCTCGTGACTATTTACCCCTCCCCTTCACCCTAAATTCCGGTCTTTCTCAATTCAATACTTACGGCGGTAAATAATTCTGAACCTCCTTGTTTTTCCATATTTGCCGTTTCTCAGTTGTACACGGTACCCTCCTCTACCTATCCGCACGATGACTCTCTTCTTTCGATACCTGATGTATCTCGTGACGCGACGCTTGCAACGTCTCCAGCGTCTTTTGACTCGAACAAGCCATCTCCTTCGTCGGCGTCGAACCCTGCGTCGTCGACCTCTTATACGACAGGTCAGTCTAACGCGTCTTATTTTCTTCCAACGTCTCCGCCAACGATAAAACCAGCCTTTACCGAGTTTTCGCAGCCTACACCAACGTCGCTTTATACGCACCCTCCAACGGCCACTGATGCGCTTTATCTTCCTGTATTTTCGTAACAACTTGATTCTTATTTTACGTAAAAATCGTCGAATGATCTTCTTCTTTCGGCCCAAGCGAACAACATATCTCCTTCTTCTCCTAACCACACAGCGCCGTCCATGGTATTTGATAGCTCTTCGTGCTAAAATCACAAAATTAATGTTTTAATGACCTTTAAACCGTAAATACCGAAGGAGACTAAATCTCCACTGGCAGAAGAAATTTTTTAGTGTCATCTTTGAGGTATCTGAGATAAAGACGATCCGTGCCAGAAAAGAGAGGAGGTTGGCACTAGCTATGGCTGAAACCAGATAGCGAAGAACATTTTTTGTGGACAGTAGCAGTGAATCCAAAATTGAAATTGTGTCTATGGCAAATATCCCTTGATGACAATGTGTGAATGCTATTTGTGTTTACATCATCCGTTAAGTAGAGGCACAAGTGTACGATAGTAAAGTTTGTTTATGGGATCTTCTCTGTATTTGCTATTTTTTTGATGACATCCACATTAACTTTAATAAGCTAGAGTGAAATTTAAAGTTTTCAACGTTACTGGCAGAAAAACTGATACATACGTCTTCTAAATCGCCTTCCATATCCTCGTCCTTTTGAGATAAAGAGTAATCCATGTTTAATAGGTAAAATGCTTGATTAATGCAGAGGGGGAACTGATATACGTGCACTTACAGAAGTCAGATTGAAATTAATTGAGATTGAACTCTTTTCAGGTGTGTATGGTGATGTTATAGAAGGTACTCCATACGAGTGGTTTTAAAATCGAACGAGCGCGCGGTGCAAGTTTGATTTGAAATCACAAGTACGATTTCAGGCCGAAATTGCACTCCATTCAGTTCAATTGCCAATTTATTACATCCATTTTGAAATCGCAAAATTCAGTAGCTAAAATACATGATTTGTTAGTCTGTACAAATAGTTAATTGATTCAGTGCTGAGCTGGTTTGCAAAAAGTTGCAAAAGTTGTTTCTCATTTTCCTCTAATGTTATTGGTTTCTTTAACCAGGCCTTGAAGTTTGAACGGTTGTTGTGTTACAGTAAAGATTTCTCATTGGCTGGGAAAAGATGCAATTTAGAGCAAAATATTTTGCGGTTCGCTAATAAATGCACGAATGATATTTCTTACTTCTCGTTTTAGGGATACGCGCATACACTGCACTGGGTCCTCTCTTTTTCCGACGGCTTGCCTCTCTGATCCACCATCGGCGACGGCGACGGCCTTTGTACCCTATGAGGGCGTAACTACCCCTGTAGCCAAACCTAAAGTTTCTCCCATTTGCGCCAATTTTCTTCAAGACATTGAGGTATCGTTTTCCATACCTAAACGCTTCATCTTGAACGGAAACCGCAACGACACTCCTACAAAATTAAATTAATTAAATTAATTAAAATCAGGATAATGTGGAATCAGCTCAGCTATCTGGGACCTCTTCATAATGATTTCTATGATTTACTTTATATATATGCCAGCACCTCGCACAAGACTACAAGCAGTGGGGAGGGGGACGGGGGCAGTGGACTGTAGAAGGGCTTTACAAACACAATATTGCAATATAATTATTGATTCATTTTGTTTCGTAACAATGTATGGAAGGTTTTACATACCCATAGGGGATCTTTTTGATATAGCTGTAAAAACGTTTAGCATGGTTAACACTTCCATGAGTGTCAAAGGAAACTCTCCGCAAGGTGCGACCTAATGAAATAAAAGCGTATATAACAAATCATCACATGGTGCTGAGTGTCAGTTCCTTTTTCATTTAATTGATAATATTCAACGAATACTTTATCAAATCAAAGAAAGTTTTCCAAAGCCTAGAAGCTGACAGAGACTAAAACATTTCACAGATGAATTAACAGTAAACTATTGGGTGAAGTCATAACGGCTTAGGCACTAATAACCCTCTACCAAACAACTTCAGTTCAATTCACAACTTTTTTCACGTTAACGCTGTAAGATAAAATTCGTCATAATTCCACAGTTAACCGTAGTTATTATCAAGAGAAAAAAAGAGTCGGAGCAACTCGTTATGATGCTTATTGAGTACTTTGGCTTCTCAAGTAATTTCGGCGTCTCGGTACAGGTAGTTATTTTTTCGAAGCCAATGAAAGCAAATACAAAGCTCTGATTATCACCAACAAATAAAGTAACTGCAACATACAAGGGCCGAGAAAAACAGAAAACCATACAACAGTTATTAGTATACGCTATAACAATTCACCTGTTCTCTTGCTAATAACCACAACATTAATACCACGTCGGCCGAGAGACTTTTCGACACCGTTCACCTTGATGTAAGCGCGAGAACGACCACCCAACACAGGACCACGCCTAGGACCGTACTTTCGGTCTTCGAAACCTTGACTGATAACACTCACGTAAGTAAATTCTAAAGAGAGTAATAAAAATGATCACGAGAAAAATTAATGTCATATAATGCTGACTTCGAAAATTTACGACAGTATAGCGAATACCGTAAACTAGCTCCATTGGGTCCCCGTGAGTGGGGGAGACAGGGACTTTATGTATTGGATTCAGGCTTTTAAGAGGGGAGAGGAGGTCATTAAAATCTCACTAATAAGAGCCAATGTACGAGTCCTTACTTTTCTTCTTTTTGTCCGCCGGCTTTATTGACCGCCGTGTACATTAGTTTGAAAACCCCAAAAAATCAAAACGGAGACTAATCAAGGCATTCTAATGCAAGTACAAAAGAAGAAAACAATTTCAAGAGGACGGGAGCTCATTAAACGAGATATTATCAGAGAAAACTGCTCATTAGGGAGGGGGTTCATAGGAAAGTTCGCGGTAAATACATGTCTTGATTTGAAAAAAATTATCAGCCAGACAGGTTCTCTTCGAGGTTAATGGGGTTAACCAGTTGTTAGGTGTCGAAAATTGACAATTTTTAACCATATGTCGTGTGAAAAAAAAAGTTTGCTGTAAAAAATTTACACATAATCGCAACGGAAGAAATTGATTGTCATTCGTAAAATTGGCCAAAGTTTTAACCGTCAGTCGCAAAGACCATCACTCCATTGACACCCTCTTTAAGGTGATGGAAAACTAAGTCTTTTGTTCGTCACAGCTACACAGGTTAACTTACTTTTATAACGTCTCCTTCTTCGTCTCCTTCTCCGCCTTCGTCTTCGGCGTCGTCGTCGACCTGCAAGACGACGAGAAAGAGTTTTAGGAAAAATGTAATTTTATTTAAAAAAAAAACAAACAAATTAATGGGATTTAGCAGTGGGCAATCCAGGAGTTGGCTCTTCTTGTCAACGGTTTCCAAGATGAATTGGAATATAGAATGTTGGTTTTTGTGGAGGGAGGAAAACCGGAGGACCTGGAGAAAAACTTTCGGAACAGACGAGAATCAATCAGCGAAAAACTTAACCTACATCTGACACCAATCTCGGGAAACGAACCCAGGCCACAGTGGTGGGACGTGAGCACTCTCACCACTGCGCCATCCCTACTCCTATTTTCTTATGAATGTGTTGCATCATATTTGGAAAAAAGGTATCTTTTATTTCCTTCGAGAGAGTTTTTACGCTTCCTTCCTAAACACCAAGGAAATTTCAGTAAACAAAGGCTAACTGGAACCGTGGTTTTAATAAATAGATATCAGGTTCTTTTTATAAATGGGTCTTTTACTTAAGACCATCAGTGATGATGCACCGATCATTTCGAAGCTTCATCTCCCCTAGGCAAACCACGGGCATTTGACTATAAACCGTTGGGGGGGGGGGGGGGGGGGGGGGGGGTGAGGAGTTTGAAAATTGTCTGAGCGGTGTAAGGAATTTCAACTGAAACTGTCAAGTCTTTTTACAGCGGAATAAACGTGTTTTATTGTTTAATACAGGGAAGGGGGGATGTTGACGCTTGGAATTGATCGACACACGACACACACGGCTGCGCCTCGTGTGTAACTTTTTCGTTCTTACTATATATTGAACAGACGCATGATAACACTGAATCTATTTGTTAATCTTACGTCTTCTTCTTCGCCTTTGCCGTCGTCTTCTCCTCCTGTTTCTTCGTCTCCTTCGCCTTCGTTTCCTTCGGTATCTTCTCCTTCGGTTTCTCCTGCGGTTTCGTCTCCCACCTTCACGTTTTAAAAAAAAATTTGGAATAATAAGAAGAATTCATTTAATTAGACTGAAGTGTTTGCCCAATAGCTGTGGGCTGTGTCACCGAGGAGCATCGCGCAGCTTGTTATGAAGTCGAAATATTACGATTTTCACTAAATTTGGCCGAAAGTCTTATTCACGTAATCACTTACTAGAGCGTTTTTGTTACGCCGTGGAATAGCGTGACTCAGCTGAGGAAAATAAAAGATTTCTGACCAGGAAGGTAATTAAGGCTCCAAGACAGTATGCTGGAGTTAGAAATAATTTGGCCAAACCTGAACTTTTGAGATAACATACAGTTATGAATCTGATGTTTAATTATTCATTTGTTCCGTTATAGAAAAAAAAACATAACATAACATTACTTTACGATGGACCGTTGAAATTGACCATAATGAGACTACTTATGCTCTAACTTCACAGGGTTACACTCACGTCTTCCTTTGTATCTTCGTCGCCGTCGGACTGGTCTTCCTGTGGAAAAAAAGCCCATGAAAGTTAAGAAACAATTCTTTTGAAGACTGCGTGCGGTTTGTAAGTTATTTCAACTTAATTAGCAGTGCATACAGAAAATAGTTAAGAATAGAGTTGTATAATCAGCTGAATAGTACAACCATTTTAGATGGATAGATCGACAGACAGACAGACAGATAGATAGATAGGTAGACCAATAGACAGACAGACAGATAGATAGATAGATAGATATATAGGTAGGTAGGTAGACCAATAGACAGACAGACAGACAGATAGATGGATAGATAGATAGGTAGGTAGGTAGACCAATAGACAGACAGACAGATAGATATATAGATAGGTAGGTAGACCAATAGACAGACAGACAGACAGATAGATGGATAGATAAATAGATACATAGATAGAAAGATGATAGATAGATACATAGATATATACAAAGATAGATGTAACGATTACAAGGTGCCACTTTTGAGGATCACACAATAATTTTTTGTAAGTTACTCTATTTCTTCTAATCAAAATTTTTTGAGAAACTTACGCCGATATCCACGACGCCACTTGAGCTTTCGACCGCCATACCTCGGTTGGAAACGATTTCCTTTCCTCTTGACCGTGATGGGTCTACCATGATAAGTAATACGCCATTTGAAGTGGGAACGAATAGGTCGCCACCGCTTTCCATACAACATAAAAAACTTTCTTTTACGTCGTTTCAGGCGGCACCATCTTCGGCCAAAACGTATTCGCCAAGTAGTCGGTTTTCTTCGGAGACGGTAAAGTTTCCGACGATACCTAATGTACCAACGCATACCTTGCCGAATAATAGTGTGAAAGACACCTTTGTATTTGACGTACCACCGACCACGACGTCGTATCAATGTCGACCACCTGTTGATAACATAAATTTGATATCTGCCTGTTCGACGAACACGGAGCCAGCGTTTTCCAACACGAACTCTCCAAAGTCTCTTCCATCGTCGCACTATACGGTAACGACCTTTGAAAAGAATTTTTTTTCGGCGCCATCCTGGATACGAAGTCAAAGAATAATGAATTTAGTATATACTAAAACAGCGGATAGCGTTAAAGGCGCGCTCTCACTGGCCACTCAAACTCTGAATGTCCTTTGCAATTCCCCTCTGCGAGCAATTCGCGCATGATTTGCGCCCGAAAACATCGTGGTCGTTGCAAGAATAAATGAATTAAAATCAGCTCTATGTGCTTATTATCTCACTATTTTGGTGTATATCAAAACAATTATTCATCTAAGTGACGGTGGCTATCGTTTCGCGCTTTACGGCTTTCGGTGAATAGAAGTTAAGTATCATTTAGGTTTCTGCTTCGAATGTTCTTTCCTATCAACAATGTACTAACCACATACAATGTTGTCAGTCAAATGATACTAGACATTTCTGATAGAACCATGTAGGAATAAGGGACCACATCTAATACGTTTTGACACAGGCAAAAAGAACTTGTTCTAATGAGCGATGTGCAAGATCTAACGACCTATGTAAACAGTGATAACAGAAAACTTTTTCGCCAAAGATAGGCCTACCTCGCAACCCTCGCAAACGTCGTCGTCGTCGAGCTGTGGGAATTAATTTAAATTATGTTAATTTAGTTATAAGTTGATTGTTTAGTGCCTTGTTTACACATAAGCATGTTCTTTCTAAAGATATACATCGGACGTGTCGTTTTCATTGTCATAATATAAACCTCGACAAAATAATTGCAACAGCAGGTCTACTTTGTAACTAACCTCGAATAGTTAGACAAACGTTCACTAAATTCACGTGTCGTCTCCAATCTACAGACCAAAAAGTAAGAAAGTGTTAATATCGTGGCGTGGTATTTCGACCTTTTGAACGCTCAAAGTCGGTTGAGTACTACACGTGTTTCGACGAAAATTGAGATTCATGAACTGTTTTGCAGTCTTACGCCACATGTGTTTCAACATCTTAAAACTAGTTCCAATTCTTTGAGGAACTGGGGTGGGAATCAAGTGTGAGCACTCAGCTATGCCTTTGTCAGCTATGCCTGACGTCAGGTTAGAGACGAGATTTAAATATTTAACTCACGTTTACTGAAGCAGATGTGGGACAGTCTGGGCTTACGTCCAAGGCCTAAAGACATAACAATCCTCATTAGAAATGTACTGAACACTTTTTCCAAAATATAGCCCTAAAAGCACATATTTCGTAGCCATTTTGGCCCCGTTCAAAATTTTCCGGCTTTCAAAACACCTAAGGTGAGTTGCTTACCTCTAAGACGCAGTCTTCCAAAGCGAGTGTTTACTGTAAACCGCTTGCTAGAAGCTAAAAGAAAGTTAAATATGAAGTGTCAAGTGTAAACTTCGTCAAACAAATAAGGAGCCCTACTGTAGGGTTCCATTAAAAAATACTTCACCGTATCTCGAAAGGAATATAATTGACATTACTCACTCTCAGTAACTTTTAACGCATTTCACGTTTATCTCAAACTGCCAACTATAAGCTGAGGCTTTCTTTTATTCTTACTTTTGGGATTCCCTTTTTCGTTTCTTCATTCTTCGTTTCTTCCTTTTTTTTTACTTTTTTGAAACTTGTTTGCGTATTCATTCACTTAACAACTGTCCTCGACTTTTTCAAGTAGAATGGACTGATACAAACAACATAACGAGATCCTATCTGCACAGCTTAATGAACAAGTTTAGTCACGGGATATTACTTGGTGTCATAATGTGTCAGTTACATCCAGTTACACAAACGTTAAACCATAGAAATCTCTGATAACTGACAAATGATATGAGAAATGCATAAAAAAATACCTGCATCAGCCTGGGTAGCATTGGTCACTGCATCATGCATGGGTTCTTCTGACTCTAAATAGACGCATTTTAAGAAGTAAACCTGTTAGTTTAAGGTGTGGGCGAGAAAAATGACGCTGTTAAAAAAATTAATTCCAACACAGACCAACCAACTAACCGTTGTTCTGTTGTATTCCATTTTGCTTTATGATGTCCTCTGGTAAAGTCCTTTTAACTCGGACTGAATGGTGACTTTCAAAGTCAGAATCTTTTCCATCGGAAGAATGTGCAGCTGAGCGAATATCACTCCTAACAAAGACCACTCCATAACTGAAAAATAAATTGATTATCATCAGAAAAAGCTCACAGGAGAATTTTCTTTTCAGGAAAGTAAACACAAATGTTACTGTCACAGCATCGGTGCTAAAAGGCACCTCACCTTTACATTAAAAGAGGTTCAACAAGTTTGTAAATTTATCTTGAAACCTTATGAGTGACGTCAGCACCAGAAAGCTTATCATTTTCATTTCCGCCAGTAAAAATATGAATACAAGAATTCAATTATAACCGCTTTAAGAGATTCCAGGGAGTAACCTAACCGTTCGAAAATTGGCTTAAAATGCACTTTCTTTGAAAAGAATTCCACAACCTAGTCGAAACGCAAAACCACAGCTGCTTCTTTGGACTTGATATGTAAACATAATTATTTGAGTCAAAAATACCGTTTTGTGTAACTTCCTAGTGTTTAATCAGATCGCAAAGATATGGAAAAAAGAGGAGCAAGTCTGTGAAATGTCAATGGCAATTGTCTGGGTTTGCTGAGCAAGATTCAAACTGGAGTCTTTCTGGGTAGATTTAAAGACAAATTTCTTAATGGCGAGGTTACTCTTTACCCTTTACAACCTAACATCAGTATGCATATTCTCCATACTGTTCTCTTTACATTTCCTAAGGTGCTGACGAGGAGAATTTGGTTAAAAATCAAGAGCTTCATTAACAAGAGAGTATTTCCTTTACAGTCGTGACCTTAATGTTTGATTCACGGGATATATTATAAGGATATATTATAAGGAGAATTATATGCTAGTCTCTACGAATTCAAAGGGGTGAATCTCAAAATTCGGTCAGTGCTATAAATGAAAGTTTCCTTCTACATAGTTGCAATAAAAATTAAATGGTTTTTTAAATGCTTCGCTGCCAAAGCATTGACAACATTTGGTACTGAATTAATTAGTAACCAAAATTTGTGAACTCTGCGTATTCGTTGTCATAGACTCAGAACTTCCTTCTGAAAATTTATCCCCCAGTACTGTGAAAATAATCAAAAGTGGACTCATGATTTAGGTTTAGTTATTCACTTTGATCAAAAATTGTTTTTTATATGATACAAATGTCGTTTGAAGGTTTTCTCAAAGCCCTCACATACACCTTATGGAAATGGAAAAATGGCAGACAGATTGTGTTAGGCATCACGGAGCCAAGTCATAAGAGAGTTAATTCATCTGGAGTTTTTGGGTTTCTGAGTGTGTTATCGTAGGATAGTTTCAGTGGGTGTTGATGGGGTAGAGATTAAGATCAATAATTCAATAATTTTGTGGTGAGCAGGGAAGGTTGTACTAACATATTCAAAGTAGCCACAAATTCATATTAACCTCTTTTCGACTAAAAAGACAAACTTTCCGTGACTCGCGTTATGTAGTTCTACACCAGTTAACAAGTTTATATTTTTAATATGGTACCAGCTGCTATTTTTACTATATTGGGATATCGTGATCATTTGTTCCGCCATTTCGTCTATTTTACGAATAAAAGCTGTTTACATAGTCACTGCCTTGATATTTGCAATATGATCATGAGCAAAATTAGTAAGTTTATGATTTGCCTTACATCGCATTTTTTGCCATCCTCTACCTATTCTACAATTATTCACCCAAGTGGAGGTGACTTGTGTTGGATATTTACCGAGCCGCTAAGCGTCGAGGTATATATCCATCACTTTCGCCGATACTGAGGTGAATAATTGATTCAGTATGTTCCACACAGACACCGAAAAATTACTTAATTTCTGTCAATATACCAAAAAATTGTCGAAAATTAAATTGTTATGCGCGATTTTGTCTCGTTTGCTGCTTGGAGGTGAATAGTACTTGCTGATCACTTCCCAACCAGCCAATCAGCGCGCGCTAAAAGCACTACTCACCTGTTTGGTTTATATTAAACAGCATTAATAAAATGATCAAGATTTACAAATTCTGATCACGTCAAGGTGATCTTGAGGTTGAGTTCTCTACGGGTACATGTTTAAAAGCACCTGTAGTTGACAAATCTAAGGGTAAACTATTTATGAATTCAGTTTATGTAACGCTAACACCTCGTCCAATTAAATAGTAGCATGTGTTAAAAGACAAGTTCTTGTACGTAAGCAATTCGAACCCACTGCTGTAGTTACTTGCAGTTTTTTTGTATTTAAGAATAGCGATTAATTTTAACCTTCGATAGAAGTTTTTATCACTAACATTAATTACTTGAAAATGACAAATTAAAACACCTAAATTTGTGAGTAACAGTCCGCTATAATTTTAAAAAAGATAAATTTTGTGATAATGAAAATAACAATATAATATATATGCATATATCACAAATTTGTTAAAATATAAATGGCAAATCATTTCCCAATCATCGTATGATAATCACTTGATCTCCTAAGTTGTTTGAATGTAAGATGCTCAACGAGAAAAATTCAATCGTATCACTAGAATAGTCAAGTTTTTTCCTCTTTTTTATATATTGATGGGTTTCGTAAGCAGAAAAGTCACTAACCTGTCCCTCGGAATGGTTCAAATCACAAAAAGTTCTGTGTTCACAGCGTAAGATTAAAATCCGACCCTAAGTTGAACTTATCATAAAAGTAAAAATTAAATCTAAAAACGCTCCCCAACATAACCGGACACCATAACCAGCAATAAACAGTATTATATCTTTCATATTAAAAATTTGGGCTCACAAAAAAAAGGAAAAATGTGACACGGTCTGAGATCGACAGCCACAGAGCTGCTCCTATTAAACCTACATATCTTTTAACAGGTTAATCTAACATCACTCACACTAAATCTAGACTGAGTCATAAAATCACGAAATAAAAGCCCTCGGTAAAAGCTGATTTATCCATAAGCCACAAGAGAAAATAATTCAAGATTCATTTGTACTTACAGGAGTAGAAACAAAACCCTCATGCCGGGGTCGCCCAATTCAAGGATGATCTTCACCCATGAGGGCAATACTGACAAAAGACCAAGCTTCTCCGATCGCCAGATAAATACATTCAGACATTCCCATACATTTATTCATCATTCCACTTAACTATTTGTTTTTTCATCTAAACGCAAAACTAAGGCAGGTATATGAAACTTTTTTTCTGGTGAAAACAGTTGAGCTCTACAAATTTAACACTTTCCTTTTATTTCCGTCGAGAATTTAAGACGCGCCTTCGATCTGGATGATTTGAGTTGATAGCAAACTTTCACACCAACGACTCACAGATTACAAATTTCTCTTCTCTAGGTGTGAAATTGTTTGTAGAATATAATAAAATGATATAATACCTGTTTCACTTTGACAGAGGCCTTATTAATTGATAGCACAACAGTTAATTCATCCAACAAAAAATTATCATTGACCCTATTTTAACTACAGAGATATTTTAGCTTAATTTTCTCAGCGAGAAATCGCCAAAGGTATCTTTCCTAAGCCATGAAATGCAGCGACACACTATTAAAAATCGATTAAAGGACGTTTATTTTAACAATCACGGAGCACATGAATATAGGTGATTTCTTAATGAGGTTAAAAGCAAAACATTTCTTCTTGTGATCTCTCAAAAAATATGAACACCTGTTAGTTAGTGTTATATCTATACTATGAAAACAAAAAACCATGGAAAAAGCCGGCATTTTGATTCAAAATAAATTTCAAGTTAAAAGCGTTACTAAGTTGACTTTTATTTAAGAAAAAAAATGGGGGGATTAAATACCCTTCAAAAAAACAAATACACACCATAATCAATGTGAGCTGGGGTGGGAATCTGGAAACACTTCCAATAGTTACATTAACGAGAACTAGTTTGTCTTCGTTTTAGCCTCTAAATCTTGTCTTCGTCAACAAGCAACAACTTTGAATCGCATCAACAATTTGAGTGGAAATGAACAACTGCTACGTTAAGAAAATTTTTAAAGTAGGACTTTTCTTCGAACAGATATGATGCGAAAAAAGGCTTCTATTTAATGTTTTGTCTTTATGGCTATCTGATGTCTTGTTTTTTCCAACAAATTCACGCTGACTCTCCAACTGCTGAGCTGAGAAAATTCTACCGGTTACAAAATTGGCCAATAATAGTTTTTCACACGTTCATTCAATTGATTTATTGTCTTCAAAAAAACTTTTTAAACTGTTTTTATTTTTCAATAGAAGTAACACCAAACCCTAGTTGGCGCTGCCTGCGAGCTTCAAATTTGTTTCATTCGCTTTTTACTTTACTTTATCAATGGTTCGACGCAATTCACTGGCTATTGTACTTTGTTACAGGAGCCGTAAGAAGGCACGAAATTCCACCCAAAGGTTACCCCTTTGACACATTACGAGCATTTTGGAGTAAGCCATTTTAGTTTATTGTTATAAATTATCACATTCTGATTACACTCACGCGAGACATTCAATGCGAAAAGTTTCTTTTAGGATGAGACAGTCAGTCTTCTGGTGTATGCGTCCTGAAACTTCCATGATGCCACGCGAACCTCTTTAACGTGCCATCAGAATATTAATTTCTGACTAATTCGTTCTCATGTCAATCACACGTCAGAAATTACCTTATTTCTTGTCAAAAGGAAGATCTAATGCACCTGGGACCAAAAATCTAAAGGACAATGCCTCTACAACCAAACCAATCAGTGCACCATTAAAATCAAACGGGTGCAAAGACTGAGTAAAGGTAGTAAGTTTCTAAGGAAACTGTGGTGCTGCGTCGGTGGGAGAGTATAACAGGTTATTTAGTTTTGACAACTGAGTTGAAAACGTAATTTTCCCACCGTAAAGACTTCAAAGGCTGAAGTTTCGAGCGTTAGCCCTTCGCTAGAAATGTCAGCCTTTAAACTCTTTACAGTGGCCAATTTACGTTTTCAACTTAGTTGTTAACACTAAATTACCAACGACTGAGTATTCGTCACAGCGGGATTTTGTGACCTTTGGGAGTAAAAATTTGTTCGTACCGATTAAGTGACAATGAAGATGCTTGTTTAACTCTAGCGATGACGAAATAAAAGTTTGATTTTAAACTCATGAGCGCACAGCGCAAACCAAAAATTCACCAATCAGCAACTGCACAATCCGACAGATTGACCGGTCTTTTATATAGCAGGGTGAATATGAGCTTATATAGAAATATATTACTGACTGACAGCTGATATGGACAAAAATAACAAGAGGTGTATCTAAGCTGTGAATGGTTGTGAACAGTCTTTTCGTCTTCGTTTAGCTACCCAATGTTTTTACGTCTCTCAGCAGCACTGTTGTAATCCCTAAGGGGCGGGAAGCAGAAAGACTCAAAACTCGGTTACAGTGGAGCAAGCTCAACCAGGCAAGGGAGAATCTTGGCGCGACTAATACCTTTGCTTTTATTAGTAAAATATTACTTGTATTTATTAAGAGCGCACTTGCCTGGTTCGACTTCCACACTTTCAACGGTGCCTTTCCAGGTCACTTTTTTGTATCCCTTGATGTTGTTTTCGATGATGTTTTACTTTTTTTAGTTGTACTTAAACTTCCGGCTAAAAAGCTTCACAGTGTCGGTAGAAATCGCTGCTAATGTGATACATTGTCACCATATGAATCAGCATGAAAAGAACGAACTTCTTCTGTGACTCGGGTGCAAATTTGTAACACGATTGCAAATTACAAATTGGTATGGTTATTTCTGCCAAACGTGAGGTTTTGTCCAACGGGCTTGTGCAATTTTGTTTGTCTGAAAAATTCACTCGTGCATATTTAAAGCAAATTGCACTCGAAATCATGTCACATTGGACAACAACTGTTGTAAACACATCGTTATCAATTGCATAGTGTTTAATATACATAACTAACGAACCCACAAACACTAAAATAATGAAAATTTATAGACACAATATATACAAAACGCCGAGTATCTAGCAAGACGAAGAAAGCCCAGGTCACCTGGAGTGAGTGTCCCGAACTTTACCCTGGCCCTGTACCCGGTGCCTTCGATTTAACGGCGCTGATCGAAACTGGGAATTATAAGGTGGCAAAGCTGCAAACGAGTCATACATTCTATGGATAATCAAGACTTTAGAGAATGTACTCCTCCACGTCCACTTCTTTGGACAACAGCTGTTAATCCAGGTAATTTCTTTAACCGCAATTCAATTATAGGATCATTTCTTTACTTTATTAGAGGCGCTTCCATAACGCACGTCGCCGGAGCATTTGTGTCCATATCGCAAACATTTTGCAGTGAATATTCGTACGCACTCTTAACCAAATAAGACATAACTTACCACAGTTTTCTCCCCTAACTCAAGCTTAGCTGTCCATATTGATTTCTGAATCACTTCGCACAGAAGTCCCACCAAAAACTCATTTCCGAGGGCTATGATGATTTTCGAAGGCTGCCTGACTGCCATTTTAAATATGTGCTGAAGTGTCATGTAGGCCCAGTTCGTGTGTCTCAGCTCAAAATCGCTCAATGGCTGATTACTTAATAGCTTCCCGTAAAGTAGTGTCTAAAAGGTGGCGCACTTTTGTAAGAATTTAAGTTCTACAAAAGGTTATTATTGTTTCTGGATGATTACTCAAAAAGTTGACGACAAAAATTGAAAATATATAGGCGTAAAAACACCAAAACATATCGTTAATTTTAGTTAATTTATTTTGCAGGGAATTTTAATATAGCCTTTACCCTCCACCTGATCTTTGTGAATGAATATTCACAGCTCGCATCCAAATACCTCGAATGCGAACCCCTGAGTTGAAAGGCAGGGAGTGATACAAAAATGCCGAGGGTCAGCCAGAGGAAATTATGAGTCAAGTTTCACATAATACTTTTTCAAGGCTTTTATTAATTATTAGATAGAACCCTTCACAAGAGATACACAGTATCAGTGTAATTAGTAGAAAAGGAATAATTAATGGCAGCAAATAAATCTCACATTAGCTTATATCACACCACCTAAAATGAATCAACCTGATCTCGCAATACTAGACAAACAACACAACCTCGACTGTTTTAAACACTTGGCATGTTCTTGTGTATTATGGTGCAGGAAGGATGCTTACTTGTCTAGTATCTTGCCTAATCAAAAGAAGGATAAGAAGATATAAACCGGAACATGGCACTCGATTTTGCGCATCAAACACCTTCATTTTGCCGACTTCGCGAGACTCTCCAATGACAATTGACAATACTCCCCAGGGATAAATAAAATTTTCTTCTTTTTCCTCATCACGCTATTCGTGCCCCGTGTTTACCTCAAAAACATGAAATCATCCGTCCTCAAAAATAACAAGGAGATACTAAAAAACCTTCATCACAACTACCTTGCAGGACTCCCTTGAATGACAATTAAAAATACTTCCCGGAGGCCCAAAAATAATTCCCTTTTTTTTCGCTCACCAAACTAAGTTTGTCCCGTGCTGCTTGTCCCATAGAAATTGGCTTCTGATTATTTAGCATCACTGATTTCAAATTGCACTCTTACTGTTTACGAATCATTCCACATGTTTAATAACAATTCTTTTGAGGAAAGAGACCCATCCCTTTTCCTGGCTACATAGCCAAACCTGTTGAACGAACACCAGTGAACTCTCGCCTGCGTCCGATTGATGCACGCTTAGTAAATTGTGAGTTAGAGATGTTAACTTCCTAGAAAAGTGTAAATAACACACAACGGTTGGAATCTCACTCCCTTTCCCAACTGTCCACTTGATCATTCCTTTACCTTGTGACGCTGCATTATAGAATGAGAGTCTCAATGGGGTAATATCTTTTACGGCATACGGGTGGCATTTGGGTAATTTTACGGCTAACCGTTATTTTCTTTCTTTTGTGGTTATCAGACAGAAATTTATGGTTAACCTTTTTTGTGACTATGGATTAAAATTTGTCAATTTTTACGCTTAAAGGCTATTTTGAATTAAGGCTCACGGTTAACCCCATTGAGACCCTCTAGAATTAGACTAATATCAGTTAGTAAATCGTTTAAGTCTCCCTCACTTGAAAATAGTTTATTCTTGCTGCTCTAATTATTCCGTTTTAATTTTCCAGTAACATTTCGTTGCCGCTCGTACCATTGCCCCTCCCTAAGCTTGATTCCTCGGCTTCTGGTAAGGCGGGTTCTTGCTGGTCAGCAGCTGTAGGTGGTGACTCGTACACTTGCGGCTTCACGGAAGTTTTTGTTACTGAGCTAGGATCTATGAAATAATTCTCTTCTGAATTTAGAGATTTCTTCTTTGTACCTTGTTCAGCGATTTTATCTGTATATTAAAAGAGCGAAAAGAAGAAATGAAGAAAAAAACAAAATTACTCTTAATTTGACTGTCTACTTCATGCCTTCTTTATGAAATGTTTCTTATTCAAGGAACTGAGACCTGCTCTTAATGTGCAATCGGTCTCAATTCGTGCAAAGGTTTTTAACTTGGTTTTAATTTTTATGTTTAATTTGGTTTTTAATTAGCTTCTAATTATTTCTTCTTTTTGTATGATTTTATTGTCCTTTTACACTTCCAAAAATTTTATGCTACTTACACGTATATATATATATACATATATTCGTCGTGAAATTCTTACCGTTCACTTGAAAATGACCAAAGTTTGGTCGAAACGTCGTGTTGTACCGTTCATTTTCTTTGTCGAAATTACTCTCGGTGGCGATAAAAATAAAGAATTTGCAGAAAAAGAAGCCTGAAAAATTCATGCTTCCTCGGAACAGCTGTAATAGACATACTATTGCGCAGTTACATTTTACTTCAGAGATCGAGTTAAGGTAAAAAGTACTGAAAGACAATTGTTACTGAAGTCTCCCTCCACTTGTTCCCAGGGTCTGTCTGCTATCAGCCGCCAATGAAAGAAAGAGAATATAGGCAAAACAGAGATGCTCTAGCAGGGTTTTATGTATAACTTCCGACCCGGTTGGGTTGGTAGTTGCTTATGGCTTGTTTTATTTGAAGTTACTTTAATATACACTTAATGTATGGTTCCGAGAGTAACAGTTAGTTTCCCTCGGACCTTACATTAAATGCCTTGCTATATATTTAGACTTTTCTATAAACAATCATATAACAAAAACATGCTGTTGTATTCGGCGCGCGGGCAGCAACTACGCAATTGTACCCCGGTCGGGATACAATTGAATTTGATCAGGGGCACGTGACCAAGAATCAACCAATCACAGCGCTGGTTTTGTTGAGTGAAAGTCGAGGTATAGAACAACGTGTTTTATAACCGGGTTGGAAGTTACTTATAAGTTATTTCTTATGTCCCAGAGAAAAGGAGTTCACGAATTTATGAAACTAGCATAACAATTTTTCAACTGATTAATACCTCTCATTTTAAAACCAAATGGGCCCCGATTCCGCCGTGGTATTTTTTCCCAACCCAGTCGTCTTCGTATCTTCACCTTCCCATTGCGCAGACGTAATCTTCGAAGACGACCGTTAAACATAGCGCGGGGCTTGTCACAGCAGATTCGCACAGATCGCCATGTTCCTCTGCGACGTATCTTCAAAGCTCCTTCTCTGGAAGGCACATATCTCCATCGTCCCCTGACACGGATCCCAAACTGTTTTCCTCTCAGTATGACTCGTCTCAATCTGCCTCGGTATACTATGTTCCAGCCACCACGTCTTCTCTGAACTTTCCTATACCTTCCTCTATATTTGAGTCGCATTTCGGGATATTTCCTCTTCCGATTGAGGCCTATCCACTTCCTGCCAAATTTGATCTTTGGACGTCCACGACGGAAGCTGATTGGTCTTCCTTTCCCTTTTATATTTATCTTTAGTAGTCCTCGTTTAGGATATATCCAGCGTAGTTTTCGTCGGGTAACCACCTTTAGGCGGCGAATGATACGTTTAACCGGTCGCCATGGCTTATTCCCAGGGCGTATACTCACTCTCCCTCCACGAATTCTGCAAAACAAAAAAGAGATACAAACATAAACACCGAGACAGAGAAGCGCCACTGTCCTTTAGCCTTGGGCTTCTATACTCTATCAAAATCAAACGTTTGCAAAATGACTAGGTACAAAACGTGACCAAGCTCTCCTGTTCTTAGGTGCCCTAATGGTTTCATATAGAAATGAAATGAAATGCTGCTCACCATCGAAGCAAATTTTTAATTCAATATTTATTCTCAACGACAACTGGTAGTGATGTCGCAAACTCAGATTAGCCAATTTGCCTTAGTCGATAAGAATATTTAGACAACGCTGCTTGCGTCACGTATCATGCAATGGTCACGCACCAAAAGAATCGTTTTACTTGACGTCGATATTTCGTAAAAAGCAAATCGACAGTGGTTTAGAATTGTATAAATCTACTGAGATGATTTGCTATGTTATCTGGGATCTACTCCTTGATAGATAGCGCGTAATGTGCGAAGCACCAGGCGTAACCTATTTGTATCATCATCTAAAAGAAATGTGAGTCAATTGGCTACGTTCATGATTGGTTTATGAGGCAACGCAACTGAAAGATTATCGTGCGAATGAAGGCAAAACCAACGCAACGTCAAGTAACTTTCGACTAAAAAGCGATATAACCCAATAACTGACTAACCTAAGGCCATATCTTTTACGACCAACACGGAATCGTAGTCGCCCCATCCTCCTCTGGACCTTTCTAAATTTTCTGCCATACTTGAACAGGAGTCTTCCAGAACGTAACCCATAGCGGCGTTGCTGCTTTCTTCTACGGCGCATGAACCTTGCCCAGCGCTTCAGCAACCCTTTACGTTCTCTCCGTTTTCTTGCCTGTCGACCGTAAGAAGTCGAAGTTCGTCTCCATTTAAGACCGTTGTGGAATCTTAGTTTTCCACGACTGACTCGAATTGGTCTGCTCCTTCCGCGGTAACGGACGCCAAGCCTGTTACCGACTGGCCTCACACGCCTGTAACTTCCTTTCACACGAATCTTAACGTTCTTTGACACATTTCTGACAGGGAGCCATTTCCTTGCTCTTTTAAAGCGATAAAAAACTGATTTTCTCCGGAATCTGAAGCGAACGAAGAGAGTGATCGATTAATAACCAATTGAATATATTCACACTAAAACGTGGGATAAGGTTGCCCCTCTAAACAGAGCCAGGAGAGTATAAGAGAAACGCACCACAAACACAGTCATATCGTAAGACGCAAATTTAAACATGTAGAAGTGTGGAAATGGAGCTTTAGATTGGGTTGATTCCACTGTCTTCTGTAAAAGGCTTCTTCGGCTCCATCACAAACGAACCATAAGCAAGACGAAACGTGGTTGACCAATTAAAACACGTGTTACGGTTTACTTACTTCAACAAGTATGGTTTGCGTCTAATGCGGAAGCTTAACATCCCTCCCTTTGGCCTGACAGATCGCCAGATTCGGTTAAACCGAAAACGTACTACACCACGTCGCGGTCCTCTGCGCCTGCCTCTAGCTTTCCAAGGCAGCCTCCTGGGTCTTCGAACCTTTGCCCGTTTTAATGATTTCCATCTCCTTCTTTTTTTGATAAGGATTCTGCGGGGTGTAACTTTGATCTTCGCGTACTTTCTACCGATACGAACGCGGGATCCTTGTACCCTTCTCCATCTTCTTTTCACGCGGGCAGAAAGGCGATAACTTTTCTCGGGAATTTCTCGCCAACCTTTCCTGTAACGGAAACGGAACTTTCCTGGGCTGTACCTGTCAAATATAATTTTATGAAAGAAATTCTTCAGATAAAGTGCTACCAAAAAATAAGTATCATTTTTTTGTTGTTGTTGTTACCAAACTGATATTCTATCACTACATTGTGTCCTCTCGATTAAGTTGAAATATGCACTTCTTTTGCGATCCTGAAAGTTGGATGCCTCATGAAGGCTTCTGTTAAAACCACACGTCACACAGCAAGGAGAATTAAATTGAATTAAAATTAAATTCACAGTTTGTTATGGTTGTGAGGCCATATAAGCATGTGGTGTCTCCGACCCCGAAGGGGAAAGAAACCATTGCAAATAACCTGTTTTTAAGCTCGTTTCGAGTCCTGGGCATACCCTGAGCTAAATCAATGCAGCCTCAAACGAACTTGGTATGTACCAATAACAATTTTTCGGCCCTCTAAGCTTCAGTAATATGTTGATTCAACGACGATGGACTAATACAACAATTTGATTGTGCCGGCCAAAAGTGCCGAAGTCTTTGAGTTTTTTTTGTGAAAAATCAGGTGGGCGAGATTTTCGCAATGTGTGATGGGCAAAGCCAATGTTGTTTCGGAGTGGCTTCCCGCTGGCTCTATTTTGAAGAAATCGACAGCTTCCAAAGGTTAGAATTGTCTCTATTCTAACAATGACCAGCCAGCCTTTCCCGCAAAAGAAACCTACTAAAGATGACTACATGTACATTAAATAATACTAGTTACGAAATAGTAACCCTTATTTTTTTTATATTACCTGATTTTTCTTCGGCGACCCATTAGACGGAATGTTAAATTACCCTTCCATTTATAGATTTTTCTCGTCTTTCCGCGATAATGAATCTTCAAAGGGCTGATTCGCCTCCTCCTCCGTCGTATACGTCTATCCACTCGCCTTTGTCGTCGTCGGTCACGTCGCAACTGTCTTGTTCTTCGCATGTAGCGCCGCAAAGTCCGGCTTTTCTTGCGTTTGTAAGATGATCGTTTCCAAGTCGGTTTTCGCGCTCGGAATAGCGGTCTCCCGCGCTTCACCTTGATTCGCCGGTATCCTCGTCCTACACGAACTCTTATCTTGCCTCTGACTCGTCTTGCAAGCCGCCATCGCCTTTTGATTAGGAACTGAGGTCGACTTCTGATGTAGCGTCGTC